GGCTGTTACAGAGAAATCAAACCGTTTCCGTGCCTGTGGTGCAGGATTTCATCGTTCCTCTCTTGTGGGATCCTCTTTTTGTTTCTCCATGCAGAGGTTGCAGCGTTTTTCTCCCTTTCCAGCCTATTTCTGGTGCTTGCTGTGGTTGTGCTCACGGACTCTGGCTCACCCTAATCCGCTTGTGCTCCTGGTTGGATGTAGCAGCCAACTTGGGGACACAGGGGAAGGTTGACCCCCGTCTACGTGGGGCAGGAGCGTGTGGCCTCCAGCCCCCTTCAGCATGGCCCTTTTTTGGCTTTGAATCACCAGAGGATGAGCGTCCTCTCCTGCTCATGGTCTTACCCCTTCCCAGCGAGCCTGGCCCTGGCTCCTCACACCAATTTCCAGGTGCACTGCGGGGGGGTGAACCCCAAATCTGCCCTTTGCTCAGGAGACCTGCCTGAGTTTTTTTTGTTGGCTGTGTTTTGCTGAATGGAGCAGCCAACTTGGGGGCACAGAGGAAGGTTGACCCCCATCTGTGTGGGGCAGGAGCTTGCCTGGGTGAATTCACCTGGCTCTGACTTCTACCTCCTGTGCCGTTGCTCATGGCTGCGCTGGCTCATCCTGGATGGTCGAACCTTTGAGGTTTAAGCCTTTAGCAGAAAAAACTCTCCTCAGTGGAACAGCTTTAGTCAGCTCAAGCTGCTTAAAGGAATCTTATTAGGTGCTGGAGTGTGGCGTGCGCTGGTAAGGCTGCTCCTTGGAGCTGTTTTTTGGCGGGTTACGGCAAGGTGGCCGTGGCCAGGAGGGTGCTTGTAACCTGGGTTAGCGAGGAGACCTCGTCTCGGGGTTACATTTCTGACAGCGGCAGCCATTGAATGGTAAAACCCCTGCTGGGAAGCTTTATTTAGGGTAGGATTTGAAGTGCTGCAAGTCCACGAAGTGTCAGTGAAGGGGTGAAATTCCCTCGTCTGCCGCCTTTGCTGAGCCGCAGCAGAGCGGCACAGGGAGCGAAGCCTCGGTTGGGAAAGGCTTGGAAATAGAAATGTTCAGGAGGGCGCGGGGTGAGCTTTTGGCTGCGGTCGCTGGCTCATCCAGATCCGCAGGGCCTGCGTGCTGCTGCACAAAGGAGCTTTTCATCCCGGGATGAGACGTGCTGACCTGGTTCGGTTTGTGGGAGCTCCGCTTCCATCGGCGCGAGCGCGTTTGCTTGGGATGTGGGATGGGACGAGGGCGTTTGTCTCAAAAATTAAATCCCAGTTCTCTTTTTACCCAAAACCCAAGCAGGAGGAGGATGTGAGCAGGTCAATAGGGCTTGCAGTTGTTGCAAAGCTGTGACTTAAAAACAAGCCAAGGAAACCTCAATGGAGGTGGATTTTAAAGGAGCGTGAAAGGGGTGAGCCCCTGTCTCCTGCAAACCCCGGTTGCTTCCCCTTAACGTCACAACAGCAGAACAAACCCAGCGGGGTGGTGGTTTGCATGTGGGACACAGCTCTGGGTTTCTCCAACCTGCCCCGCTCTCTGGCCACAGTGAATACTGTTTTTGTTCTACCTATTAACACTGGTAGAAGTCACTGGCATTTGCCTCCAGAGCCCATTTTCGCAGCCACAAGTCATCTTCCCGAGTCACGCGATTCCTTGTAGGTGTCTGGGTGCAGGAGAAGTGAGTTGGGGTGGTTTTTTTTGGCTGGAAATAAGCAAGGGTCCCCTCGACACAGTCCCCACACAAACCCAACACCCGTTGCCCCCGCTGGGCTGAGTGTTTCTTGCCCCATGTCCCTGCGTGATCTCAGCCACTGGCAGACGCGTGGTGCTGTGATCTGGAGCGTGGCCACGGCTCTGGGGCCGGAGCTGCTCCCCGGGAGAGGAGAGCTCCGCTGCTTTGAAGCTGTTTGATATGAAAAGCCGCTGGAATTTGCTTGCGTGCCTTGGCCAGGTCAGTTTTGTCATGGGGTGTGTTTGCACAGCGAGAGCTTGTTTGGAGGAGAGCGAGAGAAGCCAAAACCAACCCGACGTGAGCGTGTCTTGCATCTAATCAGACTTTGGTTCTGGTTTGCTGCCTTCCAAGGCATCCCCAGAATTGGGAATTCGTCAGCCCCGGGATCCTCATCCTGCCCTGGGTCACCTCCTGTGCGCTGAGGTCTGTTATAATGTAAATAAATAACCACGGCCCGGCTGTGATGGGCACACCCAGGGAAAGGCAACGTGGCAAAACCCCAAGCACAGAAACGAGCCGTGACGTTGTTTTGGGCTTGGAGATGCTTCATGAAAACTGATTTGAAGGATTGCAGCCATTTGATTCCACAGCTGAGGCGAGCGAGAGGGGATGCTGTGGTGGGGCAGGCGGCAGCAGAAGCAGGCCTAGGCAGTTTTCCTCTCCCGTTGTATAAAACCCAAGGGAATATCCAACAAAACAGGTAAAAAGGTGCATTTCCAGTGAGTACCCAGAAATGCACCTTGTGTGTATTGGCACCGTCTCCCACAGCGCGTTCCAGGAGCCTTGGAGGAGTTTGGAGCTGGCCAGGAGATCCCGTACCGGTCGAGTGAGGGTGTTTCTGCCTGGTTTCGCTCTTGGGTGCCAGTTTTGGGCAGGGCTGGGAGCCCGTGGGTCGGATCCAAACCAGGCTCTGGTGGTGATGCAGCAAATGGGCTCCTCCGCAGGTTGGTCCCCATCCATATTGGGGTGTCCTCCTCCTCCTGGCTGAGAGGTGTCTGGGCAGGGAGGTTGGATGTGAAAATAGCGCGGTATTTGATAGTAACTCTAGATTTAATTCTGTCTTAGTAAAAAATGAGCCGTAAAAAAAGGACTTTAATGAGTGTGCGTGCTGTTAAAGGGAAGGAGGAAGCTTGGGGAAAAGGTTCTGGTTTGTTTGACGTTAGGTAAAACTAAAATCACCAATACTCAGCTCTTTAAGAGCACCGTGTGCTGCTTGGCCAAACTGCTTGTGTCTCCTATATTAACAAGCTGTACTGTTTGGGGTGCACCATTGATTTCTTCCGTGTTCATTTTGCAAACAGAGGAATTATTTGAATGCTCCACGACCTTTAGCTAAAGGTGAAAGCCCACATTACTTATGCCCTTAACCTTCTAACGTGTCCCGAGCTTATGCTCTCTGAAAGGAAACTTTAGTGGGAAGGATATTCACTTTCAGGCACCCTGCAGGTGTTTTCTGTAAACAGATCGATGTTCCCCATTCCTTTTAAAGCCTCTTGGTGATGGATATTCCCTGGGGACAGCAGGGTTCCCCCAGGGGATCCTGTTTCTGGCTGTGCCCTGCTCTCCAGTCACCTTCCTGCCTGGCCCTGTTCCCCCTTCAGCTGAGCTGGGATGAGCCCGACCCCTCTGCCCCAGCCCGGAGACCCCCATGGCTCCTCCCGTGCCTCCTGTCCTCACTGGGAGCAGCCCCATTGCTCCTTCATTAGACTCCCTGTTTGCACAGCAGCCCTTGCCTGCTCTCTCGTTGTTTTTGGCCGGTGATAAATAACCGCCTTGTCTGAACCAGAGACAAGGGCTTGGTGCAAACGCCTGTGCTGATTTGGTGGCCTGGGGGCAACTGAGTGCTCTCCCTGGCCAGACTCCTCCTCCCAGCAGGGCCAGTTAAGCCCGTGTCCTGTGCTGGGAGGAGATGGGAGCTCCCAGGGCGGCCGGAGCGCAGTGATTTCATCAGTGACACCAGGTAAGGCCACGCAGCGGTGCCGTATTTTGCATTACAAGCACCAGGCGCCTCCGCTGCTGTGTTGGTTTCCCTCAGTCGTTACTCACACTCTGATCTGCTGGAAGCGAAGTGCCAGCCCGTGTCAGCACTTTGGGAACCTGCAAAATTGTGAGAGTTGATGGTGCCAAACACTAAAATCCCCCAGGATGTGAAGAGCCTTCTCCAACCCCCTCCGTATGCAAAGGAAAGCCTCTGCTACCAGCTGTGCGCTGAGCAGGAGTGCGTCGTGCCAGAGTTCGCATCCCGAATTGTGCTGCGGGCTGCAGCTCACGTTCTAAGGAATAACTTGAAAATGAAAAGCGCACCTTGGAAATACGGGCCCTGATCAGATCTGTCACGAGGAGTCGGTGTGATCCATCTTGCAGTACCCTGGGTTGCCAGTGAGGGATTGCGGGAGCTGGGAGCAGCTCAGCGGTGGATTTGGGAACGTTGGCTTTCTGCTGTGGGACGGGGAGAGCGTGGGGTGAAGGGACAGGACAGCGAATTCCCTGCCCTGCGGTGTCTGTCCCATTGCCAGGAAGGAGCTGGCTTACAGCGGGTTGTGTTTAAGGGATACAGCCTTCATCCAGAAGAACTCTTTCTTGGTTGCTCCCTAATCTGCTTTTCAGATGTGATCTGACGCAGAGGGCGATACTTTGCTTTTGGTTGATCTCAAGATGATAAATCCACGTGGCAAGTGCAAACCTCTGCTGAATATGCGGTTTGGCAAAGGTAGGGACTCACTAGAGCCACTTTTGGAGAGGCAAAGCCTCTGCTTGCACTCCTGGCCCCCACCAGGAGACACCTTCTGCAGGACCAGAGACTTTTGCTGGTTGTCACTGTCACCACATGAATTCAAAATACCCAGCACGTTGGGTTCTTTGCCCTGAAGGATTTGCTGCGGAGCTGCGAGGAAGCGTAGGAAAGCATTGCATGGGGATGTTGAAAGATGAAAGGGTCCTGCGTGGACCTGCAGATGGGTTATGGGTGTTGCGTGGTGGGAGATGGTGAGGGACCACGCTGCAGTAGAGGTGCAATGATGAGCAAAATCATGTGGTGCTTTTACGGTGGGATTTTGGGTTGGTTTCGTGCAAAGAGCCGCTCACCCCATACAAGTGTTGGTCACCACGAGGGGCTTCAGGAGGCAGAGCAGCAGGCAGAGGGAGGATGGAGCTCAAAGGCGCCTGGATGTGACTGGAACAAGCATCTTGCCATT